ACGGGCCAGTTACCTTTCTCCTCTCTCCACACCTTTTTCTTCTTGTTGCTGGGGTACATGTTGCCGTGGGGGTGGCTGGCTTTAAGCTGCAAGTTCCCCAGGCTCACGGGCAAACAGGGTGTGTGTGGAGTGGGAGAGGTGGGAGGGGGCACTCGGGAGGAAAAAAAGTGCAAGAGGCTCCGGGTCCCGCGCCACTCGCCAATCACTGCCCTCTTCCCTCAACCCGCGCTAGGCTTCGGCTCCCACCCGCCTCAGCCCCGCGGCCGCCGCCACAGCAGCACCTCAGAGCCTGTCAACTAGGTCACGCCTCGCGCTAACCTAACACCCGCGCAGGCCCCGCCTCCCAGCCGCTAGCCAGCGACGCGTCCCATTGGCTGCACCGCCCGCCGCTCTCCGCGTTCCAGTCACCGCGCGCCCCTACTTCGGCCCCAGGGCGCACGCGCAGGCGCAGGCTCGGGCCAGACGCCGAGGACGTTGGGGAGCTTGAGGGGGCGGAGCCAGGGCGCGAGGGGGCTGGAGATGGCCTCGCGTTAGGGGGGCGGGGCGTGGAGCGGACGCCTGGGAGGAGCGTGAGGCTGCTGGCGCTTGCCCCGGCTTCGCAGCGCTAGGAGAAACTGAGGGCGTGGCCTATAGGGCCAGGTGTGCGAGGTGACTGGCGAACCAGCGAGCGAAAGCTGCATCTAGAGCTGGAGGACGTGACAGTGGGAGGAGAACTGAGTCAACGCGAATTGTCCATGTTTGCTCTAACTGACCCGTCTGGATGGATTTTACCAGATAATCTGAAGCTTTCTTCTTGGTGAGTAAATATAACCCGAAGAAGTGAGAGGATTGGGAAATAATTCCAGACTATACACAATCAGCTCCTCAACCTTGTAGTAAAAATTACAGTTTTCCCTGGAGTGTGGTGAAGTTTGGAAAGAGCAAAGACAAACTGTACTAAACCAGGGTTTTAGGAACTTAGTAGTGGGCAACCAAAATGTTATATTGGAAACAAAAATCTTACATCAAAGCAAATTCAAGTGGGTGTCAACCAGAGCCAGGTCATCTTATCCTTTTGTTCCTCCAATTGCTTCAGCTAAAGGGCTGGCTTGATTCTGGGTAATACTAATCTGTTGGTGTTCTGAATATCCAGTCCGCCACAAGAGTAGGGTGACCTAGAATTTAGAGGAAGTTTGACAACTCCCTCCCCCAAATGTATTGCATTTCTAAATATCAGACCATCTACAAGGCTGATTTGGTGGATGTAGTGAATCCACATTTATTTGACCATTGGGGTTGCCATGTTATCTGTGCAGTACTGAAGCCAGGTGTGTAAGAGCTAATATTTGCAACACATTTTTTTTAATAATAAAAAAAGGAGAAAAAAAAAGAGGAAGGCCCTATTAAGGATCGCAAAAAAAAAAAAAAAAAGAAAATGTTTCAAGTAACAGGACACTCGTGAGTATGATTCATGACATAGTAAGTTAATAATTTTTATTTTAACATTGTCTCTGCTTCTGTTTTTCTTTTGACGTTGTGAATTTTGCTGGGAGAAATAAGGAAGGCTTCAAGAAGAAAGTGACACTTGGGCTAGTAATAAAAATATGCACTTATTTTTTGGCAATGGAAGTAAAAGGAGGGCTCTGATTCAAGACACATTACAAAAGTAGAATCGATAAAAATTGGTAATGGAATAGATTTTGGGAACAGGATGCGGAAGAGAAAGAAGATAAGAGTTTCATGGAATAGTTTAAGAAGAGAATAGCAGTATAATTAATAATATTAGGCAATCCAGGAGCAGTTGCAGATTTTATGAGAAATATATTGAGTTCTTATTTAGAAATACTACATGTAAAGTGTCTTGCAGGAAAGTGCATCAGCCTGGGCACTATCCCTTTTGTTATGAGAGAGGCTGTTTCCGCCCCAACCTAGAGTTCACCTATGCTTTCTTAGGAACCTTACACTATGCTACTGATTATTCTTTGTTTCATGGCAACTCAAGGAACTGGAACCATACATCAACTTTGAAACTCTCAAGTCTCTTCCATGTTAAAAAAAAAAAAAAATCCTCCTGTGATTCCACAATACCCTCCAACTACTGCTTCTCCTTCCTTTTCAAATGGTTGTCAATACCTGCTGTGTCAATTTCCTTACATCCCACTTTCTGGTTTTCAGTCCACTTTCTTCTGGGTTCTATCTTATTAACCAACTGAAACAGCTCTTATTAAGGTGAACAGTGACATTCATTCATGTGCTATTTAATGGACATATTTCAATCTTTCTCTTACAAGATCTCTCAGCAGCATTTAACACTCAACCTCTCATTCCTCCTTGCAGCATTCTTTTCCTTCAGTTTTTCTCACCCTTTTCAGATTCCACCTGTGTGGCCATTCCTTTAATTTCCTTTACTGGCCCGTCTTCCTTTTCAGCCATTACATTTTGGAATTCATTAAGACTTAGCCTTAGCCCTTTGTCTCTTTTCACTTTATACCTTTTCTTTGAATAATTTCATCCATACTCATGGTTCAGGTATAACAGTGATTCTCAACCAGGGGCAGTTCCCCACAGGGGACACTGGCAGTGTCTGGAGACATTTTTGGTTGTCCCAACTGGGAAAAGAGTGCCACTGGTATCTAGTGGGCAGAGGTCAAGGATGCTGTTAAGCATCCTAAAGTACAGGGAACAACCCCCACAACAAAGAATCATCTGGCCCAAAATTTCAACACTGCTGAAGTTGGGAAACCCTGAGTTATACCAGTGACTCCCCAAAATTATCTTCAGCAAAAATTTCTTCTTGAGTTTTCAACCTATACATGCTACCATTCAATAACAACTTTAAGAGGCAGTGTTATGTTATGTTATGTACTATGTTAAAAGGCATCTGAAACTAGATCATCTGGATTCAAATCATAAGTTCACCCTTATTGACTATGTGACTCTTGGCAAGTTACTCAGTCTCTATATGTTGCTTTTTTTAATTATTATGTGGATATAATAATATAGTATCTACTTTGATTGGTGTGAGGATGAAGTAAACACGTGAAGTGACTAGCACCTAGTAAATGTGGCAGAGATATTCACTAACACAATTTTCTCTCTCTTGACCCATAGGAAGAGTATATTTCCCAGCATCCCTTGAAGTTAGATAGGACGTGTGACTGCATCCTGGGTGGGTTATAAGGCAAGGGTGATATATGCCACATCCAAGCCTAACCATCAAATCCTCTGTACCCTCATCCATATTCTCTCTTTTCTTTCCATGGTGATCTCAGACAGCATCTCAAGAAGGAAGGAGCTTGGATCCCTGAATCATTGCTTGAAGGAGTATCTCAGGGATCCAAGGAGTACCACATCAGACTGTGATATAAACAAGAAACTTTATTATGTTAAGGCATTGGTATTTAGAGGCTATTTGTTTCAACATTAAGTATTAATTATTCTGACAAAATACCGTTATGATACAAGAGTATTAAATATCAATATTTAATGTCTCAAAAGTACCTAGAATTTACTATGTACCACACTGAACTCATGATCTTTCCTCCACATTTAGATTTCTTCCAGGGTCCCCTATCTCTTTGAATGGCTTCATCACCCTTTCAGTTGAACAATTGGGAACCCTAAACACCATCCCTGATACCTCTTACAACTTCATTCTCATTTCAAATGAATTGCTATATCGTCTCAATTTTATCTCCTGTATCACTCTTGAATTGCATTCCTTTCCAATGGCACTGCAGTAAACTCGGTAAGAATTTAACTGGACTATTACAGAAAGCTTCTTAACTTGCCCCCATGTCTTCTTTTGCCCCTCATATGTCCATTCTCTGCCCTGCATCTGGAGTTACCTTGTCAAATGTGATCGTGTCATCTCACTGGTGTAAATTATTCAATGACTTTTTGGTGCTCTTTGCTCTGGACTGAATTGTATTCCCCCAAAATTCATATATTGAAAACTTAGCTGGCTGTGTGATTATATCTGGAGATAGGGTCTTTAGGAGTTACTTAAGGTTAAATGAGGTCACAAGCATGGGACCCTAATCCAGTAGAACTGTGGCCTTATAAGAAGAAGAAGGTATATATATATCTTTTCACCCTCCTCCTACACCTGCCCCTCACACCTGCCATGTGAAGGCACAGTGAGAAAGTGGCCATCTGCAAGATAGGAAGAGAGCCTTTGCCATAACCAGACTGACAATATCAGCATCCTGATCATAGACTTCTAGCCCCCAGAACTGTGAGAAAAAAATTCAGTTGGGGTGCCTGGGTGGCTCAGTCATTAAGCATCTGCCTTCAGCTCAGGTCATTATCCTAGGGTCCTGGGATGAAGCCTCGCATCGGGCTCCCTGCTCAGGGGGAAGCCTTCTTCTCCCTCTCCCTCTCCTTCTCCCTGCCGCTCCCCCCCTGCTTGCTCTCTCTCTCTCTGCCAAATAAATAAATAAAATCTTTAAAAAAATTCTTCTGTTTAAGCCATCCAATCTATGGCATTTTATTATGGCAGCCCAAGCTGACTACTACAGTCTTATAAAAACTAAATCATTAAGAATGAAGTGCCCATCACCTACCAATTCTGCTCCACCCCCACCACTCAATCCCTGGTTCCAGTCATACCAACCATAGAGATTTTAACTTCCTTGAACACATCTTATTCACACCATGTGGTCTTTTCACATGTTTGCCACTATACCTGAGACACGATTTGCTTAGTGGACCCGTTCTTACTCTTCAGAGTTTAGGCTAAAAATCATTCCCTGGCAAAGCCTTCCCTAACTCTGACCCCACCTGACCTCTACCCACAGTTTTCTTTTATATGCCCTCATTGCTAATTTATTTTCCTATGAAGCATTTTTTACACTTTGTAATTATACATTTATTTTAGTGATTCTTTTATTAATATTTATCTTTCACTCTGGACTTAAAAACTTTCTGAGGACAGGAAATATATCTTTTTGCTCACTACCCACAGAGAATGGCACAATGCCAGACACATAATAGGTTCTCAATAAAAATTATTGAATGAGAAAAACTTTAAATGAACATTATTCATACAGAGATGTCGGTAAAACTAAGGAAGAGCACATGAGACCAAGAGGGGTTACATTGGAGAGGCCGTAATGTTAATGTGAAGACTAAGAGAGGAAATAACAAATGAAATTAAATGCCTGAAGGAGAGTGACCATTCATCCTTAGCATACAGTAGCTATTCGAAAATTAATGAATGAGTGAGGGAGTGATGGAATGAGTGAGAAATTGTGTTCAAGAAATCAGAAAAATAATTGCAATTCAGTTTCCAGAGAAACCAATAATATATTCTCAAGAAGATGTTTGTGGTCAGAAATGTCAGATATCTCACAGAGATCAAGTAGGATGAGAATTGAGAAAAGACCATTGGATTTACAGTCTATGTGAATCAGTGACAATAAAAACAGTTGAAGAAGTGAGAGAAACAAGAAGTAGTGATTGTGAACTATTTTTTTGACATGTTTAGAGGCTAAAGAATAATTAGAGGAGATAGAAGTTGAAAAGATACCAAAGCCAAGGTAAAATTTTTCTGAGACATGAAATGAAAAGTGTTTAAATTAAGAAGGCTGGTGACAAAAGATTGAAACAAAAAAAAAAGAGAGAGAGAGAGAGAAAAGAAGGACAAATGTTAGATAGAAATACCAGAAAAAGATAAAGTAAATGTAGATAGAATCAAAAGTAGAATATAGAAAGGGCATTTCATCTTTTGTGATGAATTAGAAAAAGAATGGAGATTCAAAAATTTTTTAAATAAAAAGAAAGTAGAGGGAAGACAAGTCCGGTGAGCTCAGTTTC